CACACACACACACACACAGCAGCTACACTCATCCACAAACTAAATCTATGCACACATGCTCACAAACTATATTTTACTTAAATAATTTGTATGCAGATGTATCCCAGAAACATTCAACACATTGATGATGAAATCTTACTGTTGTCGCTGCAACATGATCGTTTGTGTTGTATTTTCTGCTGCTAACTTCATTTCTTTCTTTGTTCTTCTGTTCTCTTCAACAGTTTGTGGAGATCAAAGGAAGTGTGTTCAAGAAATTTGAAAAGAACAACTTATTCCAAATGTCCAACAGTGGTGAGATATTCAGTGTCATTTCAGAAATCCAACATTCATCATTTGAAGTACTGAAACGATTATGTCATACTCATATGCTTTTATTCAAAATAGTTTTTTCCAGAACTGGAACACTATTGCATTTTGTATTGTATGAATGTTTTTCAATCTACATAGAATTTACACATACAAAATGAACTACCTGTAAACATATTCATAGAGTGAGTGTCTCACAGTCTCCAAGATCTGTGATCATCGATTGCTCCATGAGCCTTTTACTGCTCCTACTGCTGAGTGTACAAAAGGGAAAAGAATTTGTCTTAGAAATGACTTACTCTTACTTCTCATCACATAATTCTTGTATCTCTGAGCTCTCTCTTCAGAAGATCAACGATTGTTAGACGATAAAACAAAAATCCCTTTGTAACATATCTTTAAATACTTTTTTATTACTTACTACTTATTTATTTCAGTATCCTTTCAAATCAAACCCCTTGTTTGTAGAGCTGCATATGAAACATAATACTTTTGTCAGTTTCTCTTGGATAGATTTATGACTCATTCAATTTATTTTTGTGAAATGTTAAGCATCAATCTGTAATGGAAAAACATTCAAAACAAGGAACAACCCAAGAAAAAGGTGTGAGAAATTAACATTTAAGATTTAGTAATACATGTATTGATTTGGTGATGTCTATGTGATACTCAGTGTTTTAGGTTGTGAGGTAGTCAGTCCATTTGGCTTTGACACACTGAATACAGAGATATTAAATGTATTGAGCCCTTTTGATTTCCCAAGGCAGCAGGTTTTCATCTCAGTCACTCCCTTTGTATTCGAATGACAGCAGAAGACAATAAGCCTTAATCAGCCGCCATTTCCCTCTCATGTTCACTCACATCTTGATTCCCTGCTAATGGAGCTGAGCACACTCCTAACTAGCATGGTATTATCAACACACACAATGGTGTGCTAAACATTTACAGCTGTGTCTTTAAATTCTACATGGATGTTCACAGTGTGATAAGACTAAAAGCCAAAGTAACTGTGATATGCTGCTATAACGTATGAACAATGAGTTATTTCAGACTTTTCTCTTAGCACCTCTTTTATCAAAGTGCTATACAGTAAAACTGACAGATTTCACACCTTTAAAACTGTCTTTCACACCACCTGATTAAACACAACTACAATATGAGCCATAAATGTGGCCCTCTTAACCAAGTAGCCCCAGAGTTCAGAGATTGTAATCACAAAAATTCTTATTTAATCTTGCAGATATCAAAGAACGGTTCACCAGCTACGTTCTCCTGCTCATCGTTTGTCTCAGGAATATGGAGCAGTTTGCATGGAACCCAGGTAATGATCTGGTTTTTTTACTTAAACTGCAGTTTAATATATATTTTATTCATATTAGAATAAATACAAACCGACAGCATGCTGCCCCAGGTTTGTTCACTGTAGTTTGTCAAATTCAAAAGCTAAAAAAAAAGAAATCCACTCTAGTAAGGGGGGGTTCAGTACTTGTCATGGTAAAAATTCAGGAAAATCTGCTGAGCAGCTCCTTCCCTGCTGTTTTGCTTTTGGTTGACCCACTGCAACACCTTGGGGACCTTTCTCTCCAACAAATCTCAGTGAATGCAACAGAGCAGAGTGATGGATGTGAGCTGGGTGCTTCTGTACGACAGCCCTCTGAAAACAGCTCCTCCTGCCAGTCTCAAAGCCAGACACACAGTAGATGACAGACGTGGCCTGTCGGCTGAAATCATAACACTGATGTGCTAATACTTGAAGAGTTACAACCTTCTGTTGCTAAAGCGGCATACAAATCACAAGCTCCCAATAATTGACTTACCTTCCATGCTGCATTAGTTGTACCCGCACTTCTTTGTGTGCATTATACAGAACCAAAGCACCTGCTCTTTGCTAATTACCTGTTAAATACTTTTTGATAGTTACGAACGGATGAAATGAGATCCAAAGCTGTTTTGCTTTTTTGTAAACTGTCATAAGCCACTTGGTCATATATTGTTCAAACTGTCATTGTACTTTGTAACTGTAAAAAACATGTGTACATAACATTTGCAAACTTCACATCCATTAAATTGTGTGAGTATTTATATTACTTACAGCCGGACTAATCCGTATATTTGTATTAACAATGGATCACATGACTCGTGATGGCGTTTCGTCATAGTGACTTAGTTATCACCGGATTAGTGTTTCAGCTCATTGTTTTGTTTTTTGGACCGCAACTTTCCTGTTTTGGTTTAGTATCTCTGTAGTTGGTGGGGAGAAAAACCACTAAAAGGACAGTGTAACTGTTTTGGAGCTACATTTGTCAGGTCATGAAACAGAAGCCAAATGAATGCTAATGTTGCTTTTTGTGCTGAAGCAGATGTTTACTGATGCTTTTTTCGTAACTTTTTAAAGTTAGAACATGTTACACATTTTCCATTTTTCCCCCTCAGACCACCTGTGGGTTTTGTTCCCTGATGTCTTTATGGTCGTCACCTCTGAAGTTGCTGTTGACATTATTAAACATGCTTTCATCACCAAATTCAACGACATCACTGCAGATGTAAGAAGCAAACATAACATTTCTAAATTACTGTCAATCGCCAGCCAATGTCTTGTCACACACAGTATACACATACATACTGTAAGTATGTATCGCTCTTATACTCCCTTTTTTTCTTGTGTCTATCCCAGGTGTACAGTGAATACAGGGCAAGTTTAGCCTTTGATCTCGTCAGCAGTCGACAGAAGAATGTAAGCCTTCATACAGCCTTTATTATACTTCCATAAACAGCAAGCATTGAGCCTACGCAGCTAATCAATGCAGTTTTGTTGAGTGCTGTAACCTCTGCTTGTCCGTCACTGTGTAGGCTTGTACAGACTACAGTGACTCAGTGGCACGGAGGATGGGCTTCATCCCTCTGCCTTTGGCTGTTCTGGTAAGAGAAGCTGCACTCTGTTGTCAGTCACTAAATACTAGAAGACAGTCAGTGTCACATAAACATTAGCCAGAACTTCTTAACAAAGTTGTACTTAATGTCGCAAGCTGATAATAGCTGTCTGATGGTTCTCACCATTGTTTAAATTCATCATATTTTCTTTTGTCAAAATGACCTCTTTTTTTACAGCTTATCCGAGTGGTGATGAGTTCGGTGAAGGTGCAGGGGGCTCTTTCATACACATGTGTGTTCCTCTTTTATCTTGGGTAAGTCTATTCAAGTTATACTGTTGTATTAAGGTTTACTGTGTTACATTTAGGAGGATCTACTGTCAGAAATGGAATATAATATGCATGCACACTAATGTATAATCACCTGAGAATAAAAATGGTTGTGTTTTTGTTACCTTAGAATGAGCAGTTTTTATTTACAGAGGGAGCGGGTCCTCTTCTGGACAAACAAAACACTTGCTCTATACAGGGCCTTTAGCGTTTTTCGTGAATTCTGTTGCCACTGTCATTTTTCTTACCTACTTGGAATGGGAGGGTGAGATGAGGGGGTTATAATATGCAGCTGCAGTGCTAGAAACCACTAAATCCTACACACTTGACCTTTAGATATTACCGATGTGACATAGTTTTATTGAAGATTGCCCTGCCGAGCCACCGAAATTCTGGGAGCTTGTAAAGTTGTGTATTGCTGTACTTGTTGTACGGCACATGGCATTTTTCATTTTACATATGCTGCATATATTTTAATCTGACTGTAAAAATGCAGCTCAAGAGGAGATTTAAATGCTGAAAGTGATTTTGGTTGTCTAAGTTGTTCATGCACATTAATCTGGTGATAAGATATGTTTTTATCCATTCCCTCTCCTTATTGAAGTACAGGCATAAACCACTGAAATTGAGGTCAAAGTCTGTATTTCCATATTTTTGAATCTCAACACTATTTGTTTCGTCATATATACAAGTGAATATTTAAATGCTTACATTTTTTGTTCAATGATAGTGTGCGAGGCTCTCCCACAGACACAGACTCTCATGTGTTGTACACAGACATGCTTGCAGAGACTAAATGCACACTAACACATGCAGGCACTGTCGTAAACACAGTCTCAGATTCAGAGACACATACAGTTACGTAAGCATTAACACTGTGCCCTCACGTTCTCCCTGTGCTGAGCTGCTGATTGCCTCGCTCATTCTCATTTGCCAGATCCCATTGGGCTCGTACCATTGAAGAGTTTCCCTCAAGGCAAAGAATGCAATGTTGTCATCTCTAGTGCCATCTCTGGCCCGCCCCACCCCCTGATTTAAAAATAGCTCCAGCTTGAACAGACCGCTCTGCCTTGGCAAAGATTCAGCCATGCTGAGTCTCTCAGTCCGAAACGCTCTGTCACAGCGAGCAGTGGTCCACAGACCCAAATGTGTCTGTCTCTCTCTCATCACAGTGTCAGAGGCTGGGCCTTATATTAAAGCCCAGAAACACAGAAGGATGGTATACATCAACATCTTGGTGTCAGTGGTGGGATGCGAACAGCGGCGATCCAAACCAGATGGAAGAAGAGATTCATTATAACTGTGGCCCAGCTCAAGACAGCGCTGTGATAACTCTGCCGTAACAGCAAGAAAGATTGCAATAGGCTGTTCAGTTATGACTAATCTTTCTATTTATTCTCTTAATCTACAGTTCATCTGGGTGCTGAATCCATCACTCAAATGAGCAAAATGGCACACATGCTGATCTGAAATGTTTTATCAATATTCCAATATTCTGTGATTATTGATTTCATAAATTAAAGCTTCCATAAACAGATGAGACAGAAATGTTTGTGTACGTCTACATCAGAGTTGAGGATGCTTTATTTTATTTTATTTATTTTTTTAATTCATCCAGCAAAGTTAGTTTCAACAGTAGAAGAAGAAGTTGTTTTTGATTCACTTTCCCTAAACACTGCCTTCAGTAGGAAATGCATCTCTCTAAACAGCTGCCTTCTCCCTCTTCAGGCTGGTTTCACTTAAAGTGTTGAACAGTATTGTGCTGCTGGGGAAGTCGTGTGTTTACATCAAGAGGGCCAACATGGAGGACAAACTGTTCGAGAGGCCCTCTGCCACTCCATCCTCCTCTGGGAAAACCCCCAGCAAAGCTGAGCAGGACAGATGTCCCACACCTTCAGGTAAACCACAAACAGATTAAGTTTCTAGGAATTTAAGCAAAACACTAGGCTCTGTACATGTTGTGGTGCATGTACATATGCTAATAGAATTGAAATCATAACGAGCATGCTGCTCAGTAACTGCTAGATTGTAGAAGAAACAAGCAACTGTTTGCTAATAAAGTTTACCGTACTACGTACACTATGACGAGGACAAAATGGGAAAATTGGAGATTTATTGGAAAAGAGGAACCCCCAGTTACTGTATGGGGCGGCCATCTATTTGAATAAATAAATTTTTAACCAAGAGAAATGCTGCCAGGTTAGACATTGAGATTTGATGGTGCACTCGTATCTTCAGCATGAAAAATTCAGGAACCTCAGCTGAGGTCATTAGGGAGTGTGAATGCAGTAGTTTGATTTTGGATCTAAATTCAGAAAATGCAGCTAAAGATGATTTCAAAGTTTGCAGCAACTGTGCCAGCAATGACAGATAGAATATATGAAATCTATTTATTTTGAATTACACAAATGCTTTTTATCACAAATATTCTACAGATATAGCATTTGGGAAGTTGCATCCTATTTTGGAGATATGAGAAGTGTCGAGACCTCAGAGAGCATCCTGGTGGTTCACAGGACTAGATGTCTAGTAAATGAGACGTTCTGGGATTTAATCTTGCTGATGAATAATGTACATATTGCTTTCTGCCTCCTACTCAATCGCTGATCTTTCCTGTCTCTCTGCACTTTGACATATTGTATCTAATAAAACAGTAATGTCTTACAAGGATCAAACCGCTGTACCAAGGAAACACTGATGTTTATATCTCACACTAGGGTGAAAGATAGTGATTTACACATGAATGCTATTAGTTAATGTTTACAAATCCAGTGTTTGTCCACTGCATGCAGCACAGTTCCTAAAGCAACACTAGGCTTACCAAACCCACCATCATGTTTAAATTAACATTTGTAGGCATTTAGCTGACACTTTAATTTACATTGTAGGCATTTAGCTGACACTTGTATCCAGACAGATTTGTCAGCAGGTAGCAGGAGCTCAGTGTCTTCAAACAGCTGATGGATACATCCTTTGTGTGGTGATGCGGAATTCAAACCTGTGACCTTTTAGTTGCGTCTACCTGAATATCAGGCTATAACTTGTCAGATTTTGAGTTTGATTATAAAACATTTACAGGCTCACACAAATCGATGCTGACATTGTTTGTATTCCACTAGACTGCTCACCAGAGCAACGATTCTACCAATTTTCGAAATGGTTAACCTATGAAACGTAAAAAGGAAGTGATTCTTATTGCTTTTTTTGTCCAACCAATCGTCTAAAAACCAAAATGTATTCCTTGTACAATGATATTACAGTAAAGCAGTAAATCTTCCTATTAAAAGGAATATTTAATGAAACGATTAAACATTCTCCATTTTGACTAATCAATTAATTTAAATATTTTGTTTTGATTTAATCAGTAATGTGACATTAAATGATTGTGATGTAGCTGGTATGGCATTTGACATTTTGAAGTTTGACATTTAATTGTAGCACTTACATCAGGCCAATGAGTTTAATTCAAGTGGAAAATGTTCAAAAGAGACAGAAAGTCATTTGGCAAATATTTTTGACAATCAAATCACAAATGCAAAAAGTTACCTGGTTCCAGGTTCTCACTTGTGGGCACTTGTGGCTTTTCTCTGTCCTATGTGATAGTGATGGTAAATGGTAAATGGACCTGTACTTGTATAGCGCTTTCTAGTCTTTCCGACATCAACGCTTTTAAACTAGTGCCATTCCACTTTCACAATTCATCAGGATGGCAAGTCCTCGAACAGAAACTAACTCATTCACACACGATCACATGATCAATAATGAAAGTAAAAGTAATTGTTAGTTGTTGCCCTAGTGGACTTTAGAAGCAGTAGTGTCTTAGAAGTCAACCTTTATGACTAAACAAACCCACATTCCAACTTTCAAATATTTACATATGCATTTTCTTCATTACGATTCATATAAATATCTTGATGCAGGTCCTATATCTAAGACACACACACACATACAATCAGACACACAGATTTGGAGGTGGCAATATCTCCCTGTCATCCGCAGCCAAATCCCTGCAGATCTTTTCTCCCGTGTGCCACAGACCCGCCTGCTGAGCTGAGCCAGGAGCTTTAAAATGACAAAGATCCTGATGGTGCATCATGTCATATCAAACATCAAAGCTCCGACTACCGCTTGTGTTTCAAATGAGTCTGGTTTCTCAGAAACAGCTACAAGGCTTAAAGCACCCCACTCCGACATATAGAGTATAATAATAACTACTTTGGGTTGTGGAAAATTAATGTGAGTCCCCTTCTGCTTCCCACACATTTGGCTGCTGGGATTTGAACCGGTGACCTCACATCCCATGCTCAGTTTTCTAACATTACAGTACATTGGTCTGTGCCTGGAGCTTCACCTGCTGCTCCAGTGGATCCACTGCACAATTGTGTTCATCTGCATGTCTTTGTCTTTACAATGATCTGTATTCACATAACACTAGATATGCCATCTGTCTTCTTTGCATGTTTTTGTCCGGGGGGCAGAATTGGCTAATGAGCGGTTTCACATCAGCCATTTCCAACCCCATATGGTGGTTAGCTTTTATCAAAGCTCACATATCTTCCAGAGAAGAAGTAGGGAGAGTTTATACAGTATGTGACTCGAGCAACATTTCTTCTAAATCATTTTAATGCACACCCTTAAGGACTCTGCAACACAGTTTATTTACACATTTCAATGATAAAACCCAGGGGTGTAATTAAAAGAAAAACAGCTAACTAAATAACAAACATAATTAAAAAAAAACACAGAATAAAAGGAACTTCTGCTGACAAATGCACTGCTATATACAAACCTGCATTAACTGATTTCTTTTGGTCACTGGGGGTTTGCAAAACAAGCTAAAAACACAACATTGGCATCTTATTATTTTGCAAACTGAAAGGAGCTAAGCCAAGGAGGTTATGTTCTAGGTGCTGTTTGTGAGCAGGATTATGGAAAAACTACTGGCCTGATTGTCATAAAACTTGATGGAAGGGTGTAGCATGGTCCAAGGAAGAGCCCATTCAATTTCAGAGCGGATCTGAATCACAGGGCGGATACACATTACACATACACACATTTTTCTCTTTCATTCACATTAAACATTCACATCAATGTCTCTGTCCTCTCCATGTGATCGAGGGCATAGCTCAACTCCTCCACACACACGCACAATAAACCAAGTGAAGTGATGGTAATTTTTTTTACTCAAGTTCAGTAAACAAAACCCCAGTAAAAACGAAAAAAAAGTAGAAAAGTGATATTTTCACCTGCATTGTCCACAGTTGTTACAACCCCAGCGCGTGTGTTAATCTACTAGCGAATATTTTTAATCGAGCTAAAAAAAAAAAAAGCTATCTGTATGTTGTCTAACTGTTGAACTTAGTTTGCCCTAAGGCCAATTCTTATAAACCTAGCTACTGGCTGAGCCCTTCCTCCAAACAAGCCCCTCTCTCCCTACAAGCGGTACCTGCAGGCAGTGAATCACAGCAACAAAGGACCTTGGCGGAGGTCTGCACTGTCCGCATTTAATTGGCGTCATATTTCTGGCAATTTACATCCTCATAGCTCAGTTTAGATCTCCACTACCTCCTGAGAGAAATATCTGGCTATTTACTACGTGCCTCTTTTATCCAATGTAGTATATCATAGTGCAGTGGTTCTCAATCTTTTTAGTGTCAAGGACCCCCAGATTGATACACATCAGGCCGTGGACCTGTATTTGATGAGATGTAGTCTCAGAGATTTAGTTATTCCATAACAGTCTATACAGTTCTATACAGTGAAACGTGTAAAACCTTTGAACAGAATAGTCATTGTCTCATTGGGCTAACTTCTAATCAATGAAATACTAGTGAAATTAAAATATTCCCCATTTTTCATGGGGAACCCTTGGAAACCCCTCAAGGACCTCTGGGGGTTTAGGACAACTGTGGAAGACAAATGATGCAGGTTATGGGATGCTTCACAACATCCCATCAAAATATCTAGCATTTTCAGATGTTTTTTCTGTCTTTCGGCTACTTAGACGACTTCTATGATGTGTTCTGTGATGTTGACCAACAGGAACACAGAACGTTTTGGTTTTTTTTGTGCATAATTGTTAACATAGTGAAGCAGAAAAGAAATGATGAGGATGGTGTTGAAGATGATGTGGAACACTGAAGTTGCTTCTTGGTCCCCTACTAATTACCTTTGTACTGGTTCTGAAAAACAGCAAGCTATAGTTCGCTAGTGTTCAACACGTAGTCTGTGATGTCTCTCGACCAACTCAAGAGATAAGATAAGAGAGATTTTATTTGTCACATGCACAGTTATACATAGTACAATGCACAGTGAAATGCTTCTTTGTACCTGCAGCCAGTA